AGGGGAAAATAATCCAAAACTGATTGAACAGCTTATCCATCATGTCGCACAAAAGATTCGCAGCGAGGTTTTGTCTTTAAAAAAAAACATACTTTAAATTGCCTATATATAATGCATCTATTGGTTTCAAAACCGTTTGCATTCACACGGTTGACACAGATATTGCTATTTACGCTTTGTACTTTCAAAACCAACTTCAAATAGAATTATTTGTGGATTTTGGCGTCTCTACTGAAAGACAAACTCTTGATATAAGTCTTATTGCCTCACAGTTAGGTACTGATTGTTGTGAAGCTCATCTTGCTCTTCATGCATTTAGCGGGAACAATTATACAAGTGCATTTTACGGGATTGGTAAGTCAAAGTTCCTCAAACTAATGAGACAGTCTGAAGAGCACAAGTCAATTTTTCCAAGGTTGGGGACTCTTATACCTTTGATGTAACTCATTTTGACCAAATCGAAAAGTTTATATGTCAGTTATAAAAGTTATAATGCAGTGATACGAAGGAAGATAACTTAAGTTGATTGCCAAGAAAGAAGCTACGGAACCTTAAAAGTTTCTGCCAACTAGGGATGCTCTTATGTGTCATTGCAAGAGAGTTTTGTATCAAACAGCAATTGTCAAACAATCAGTGTAAGCAAATCTCAATATTCCAAAACCCAATGGATATGGATGGTGAGAAATTGGCAATCAACTTGAGGTTAAATTGATGCACATCAGACCTGTTAATTCCTATTCGTGTAAAAAGTCAAAATGTGAAACACGGGTTGATTGCATGGATTGACTTATACGCAACTGTTCGTCTTGTGAAAACACAAATGATTGAGACGACACCTAGACAAAATATTATTCTACTGATTCGAATTTTCCTTTTTAAAAATCTGTTCACTAAATTTTTTTTTTTTTTCGCGAAATTTAAAAAAATTATTATCGTGACGTCATCAGTACCAAACAAGGGCCCGAATTTGACCCTTTAAGCACTATTAGAATTGCTCGTAGGTTTTATTATTTACTATAAGGTTTTCTCGAGATATTATCTAACGTTTGACGTAAACATATATTTTTTAGTTTAATAAAAAAAAAGTAGACCAGCGTAACGTCATCAGTACCAAATAATGCCCCAAATTATTTTATTTTTTTTTTAATTTTTTTTTTAAGATATTTTTTTTTGTCTTTTATCAAAGCTTTACAAATACGTGATCATAAATATAAACTAGTTCGTTTACATTGTATAAAAAAAATACCGTACATATAATAAGAAAACTTTTTTTAATACAAATAATAATATATATAAAAAAGTAACACTGTTAAAAGACGCGGGAAACTTGCAGAAGACCATTTTGGTCTTGTCATCAAGAAACCGCTTTTAGTTGCGATATTTTGTATACTTAATTTATTAAGAAATTTCAGTTTGTCAAAGTCTCATGGTGGCATAAGAGTCACACATAAAAAGCTACTAGATAATCAAAAACAAAAAACGGAAAAGAGCTGTATTTGATACATATAAATATATAGTTACATGGTTTGTTATACTTAGTATATTGACATGTACGAAATATAAATAAAATCTAACATTTACTTTGCTTTAAAGTGGATTTTTTAGGGGTTTTTAGTTATTTGTTTTAATATACGTTTGTAAAATTGTTTAAGTTTAGAACAAGTTTTTTTAAAAGTGTTTTCAGAGAATTATGATTAAGTAGTTTTGTAATTATAGTATTTTTAGCTATTAGTTTGTTGTAGAGGTAAGGGCCGCGATACGAGATGGAGAAACGTGATAGTTTTGTTTTTTTATATGGTACTTTAAAATTTCCTATTCCTCGAGTTTCATATTTATTTCTATTGCATTTAAAAAATTCTTCTGAAAAATGTAATGGGACAAGTCCGAGTTTATATTTGAGCATGAATATCAAATTTTGGTAAATGTTAATTTTGTAGACATTTAGTGCATTTAGAAGCTTTAGCAAAGGTTCGGCATGAGTAAATTTATCTTTATTAAATACTATTCTTGCAGCATGTTTTTGATGTCGATAAAGTGCCACTAGGTTGGATCTATGGGTACTTGCCCATGCTATATTACCATACGTATAATAGGTTTGAATGAAGGAGAAATAAAGTAGCTTTAAATTTTTTTGGGGTAGCATCGGTCTAGCTTTGTAAAGCATGCAAATGTTGTTTCTTATTTTGGTATTTAATAAGTTTATGTGAGCTTTCCATGAAATATTCTCATCGATAAGTATTCCTAAAAATTTTGTTGCTTTGGTTCTTTCGATAAATTTATTTTCTATTTTTAGAGACGGTAATGGAATTGGTATAGATTTTTTCCTTTGATTGGTGTGAAATAGAATGTAGTTGGTTTTTTCTGTACTCAATGATAATTTGTTAGATTTAAACCAAGTATTAAGTTTTTCAAGTTCAATACCTGCAGTTTCGAAGAGTTCTGCGGTAGAAGTAGATGAATAAAATAAGTTTGTATCATCTGCAAACATTATGGCATCAAGTTTTTTTGAGACTTTTGGAAGATCATTGATGTATAGCAAGAAGAGTAGGGGAGCTAGAATGGAACCTTGGGGAACTCCGCATTTTATTTTAAGTAATTTTGAATGGGTATTTTTATCCATAATAACACATTGCTGTCTGTTTATAAGAAAGCTCTCAAACCAATGTAAAGCAACATTTTTAATGCCATATTTTTCCATTTTTTTAAGTAGTATAGCATGATCAACAGTATCGAATGCTTTCGATAGATCAATAAAGATTCCTAGAACAAATTTGTTATTATCAAAAGAGTCATTTATTTTATTTACAAGATCTATAATCGCATGTTCGGTTGAATGTTGTTTTTGAAATCCGAATTGTTTTTTATTCAAAATATTGTTAATAGTTAGGTATTTATATAGTTTATTGTAAACTATTCGTTCTAGAAGTTTAGAAAAGACAGAAAGGATTGAGATGGGTCTGTAGTTATTAAGTGAGCATTGCTCTCCGGATTTAAATATTGGTACAACTTTTGCAATTTTTAATTTGTCTGGAACAGTTCCTGTTGTAATTGAAGATTTAAAAATTTCGAATATGGGTTTGCGTATCACCGGGAAGACACTTATTACTACGTTGCTAGAAATCTCATCAATCCCTGGTGCTTTGTTAATTTTTAGAGAATTTTTTGCAGCTTCGAGTTCATCATAGTCTAGTCCATTGAATTTTAGTTCGCTTTGTTGATTTGTAAGATAGGTTTCAAAATAGGTATTTGGGCATTGAATTTTGGACGCCATGTTAGGGCCGATGTTTGCAAAGAAACTGTTGAAATGTTCGGCTATAGAACTTTTATCGTTGTATTCTTTCCACAACAATTCTATCAGGTAAGGTATTTGTTTTGATATTTTTTTTCCCGATTATTTCTTTCATGATGTTCCATGATTTTTTAATATCGCGATTGGTATTTTGAAGTAGTTTTGAGTAGTATATTTTTTTAGAGTTTTTCCTTATTTTTTCAAAGAGATTTTTGTATTGCTTGTAGATAGATAAGTTGACTTCATTTCTGTTTTTTAAATATTTTATGTAGAGTTTTTGTTTTGTTTTAGAGGATTTTTTAATTCCACTAGTAATCCATGGACAGTTCAAATATTTTTCTTTAACTATTTTTTCTTCGATCGGGAAATAACTATTATAATGATTAAAAAAAATATCGATAAATGTGTTACATGCGGAGTTTGTGTCCTCAAGGTTAAAAATTTTTAAAAATCACCCAGAAATTGGTGTATCTTCCTTTTTTAATCTCAAGTATGTTGCTTGACTCTTAGCTGAATACAAGTGTGGTGCAAGTTTTGTCAGTTTTTTACATACTAATTCAATCTATTCAAGCACTGGCTCTTTATTATGTGTTAAGTTTGATCTATCTGTTTTTGTCCACTGATCAAATTCTACCTCTTTAAATTCTCTAATTAAATTAAAATGTTTTTTAACCAATACGTAGTAATTATAAAGTTTTTTAGCCAATGCATTTATAGTTGATAGGCATCTTTTACATTTCCGCATCATACAGTCTTTATCAGTCATAACATCCTAGATCCTAGGTAACAATTCTTTGTCATATTAAGATAAAGTAAAATCAATATTAAATCATGATGAAACAAACGCATACAGAATGCGTTCCTGAAGCACCAGCAGTAATACACCAATTTGGTCGCAATGTACAAAACCTTAAAAACATTATTTTCATTCTTGGTTTTAAAAGCAACAAACAATTCCTTTAAGTTACATTAAAGAAAACGTTTCTGCATGTTAGCGTTTTTTTTTATCCTTACATGGTCTTTTTAACCAGTCATTGTACGGCTATGTTCATTATCTTCGTAAAAAAACTGACCAGTTGAACTGTTGCATCAGGAAGAGCTTTTCCTAATTTAGCATGGCTAAATTACCTTTTTTTTAATGCTAACTTGCGTGCAGTTCGAGCAACTTACTTTGCAATCCACAGTGTAGTATTCAAAAAAATCAAAACTTGTTTAAAGTTACCGAAACAATAAAAGTTTTTTCCAAGTTACGACAAAAAATGTTATTTTAAAATAGAGAAATCTTTCAAAAATATATATTATAAATATCAAAAATATATTTGCAATAAATAAAAAAATATATCTCTATATATTATTGCTGAACTTAATAGTTTTAGTAGTAGTAGTAGTAGTAGTAGTAATAGTAATAGTAATAGTAGTAGTAGTAGTAGTAGTAGTAGTAGTAGTAGTAGTAGTAGTAGTAGTAGTAGTAGTAGTAGTAGTAGTAGTAGTAGTAGTAGTAGTAGTAGTAGTAGTAGTAGTAGTAGTAGTAGTAGTAGTAGTAGTAGTAGTAGTAGTAGTAGTAGTAGTAGTAGTAGTAGTAGTAGTAGTAGTAGTAGTAGTAGTAGTAGTAGTAGTAGTAGTAGTAGTAGTAGTAGTAGTAGTAGTAGTAGTAGTAGTAGTAGTAGTAGCAGTAGCAGTAACAGTAACAACAAGTATGTATTTTTTTTAGCACCATTTCATTTCAAAATTAAATGGAATCAAATCAAGAACGTTGTCATGAATATGACTTTTTTAAAGGTAAATTTTATTTATACGAAAAATATTTTTTATTCTCCGTTTCAATAATTACATTATTTATTAAACATATAGTGTATATCTCAAAAGTTTATTGTCGCGTATTTATTTAACATATACAAAATTAATATGATCATTTAATTAACATTTAGCATTAATTTTTATAACAATATAAAAAGTTTTAGAAGTTATTCTTTATTGAAACGATATAAATAAATAAGCTATATAAAAAATAAACTATTACTTTTATATTTTTGTAAATCAAACAGTTAAAAGAAGATAACTTTGTGGAAGTTTTTAACTGTTTTTATCATTAAACTGCAAAAACTTTGATCTTTTTTTTTTTCATCAAACTTCTCAAAACAAAACGCTTCTTAGTGGTACTAAGCTTGGATTTTAAAAACCTTGTGAAAATAGTTTATGTTTGTGGTCTTTATTGAGACAACTTAACAAAAGAATTATTCAAGTTTCTTGTTCCTGCACTCTAAAGCTTCTCAATAAAACATCCCTATTGTCAGATTTTTTGCATTTCTTTCATTATGACTGTTAATAACTTTTTTGTGCGTGCCCAGTGGGCATAGTACATTTTTTAAAAGTTCTTTGGACGTTTTTATAAAATTTAAACCCAATAAAAAGGTCCAAATACGTTTCAAAAACGTACCGTACCCACTAAGTGGATTAAGACATGTAATACCGGCTGCAATGCTTTAAAAAAATGCTAGACAGTGTTTTAACACAAATATTTGATATTATAAAGTTTGATCTTCTTTTTAGAAATCAGAGCGCAAAGGTATTTTCTCTATGCCTAGCACATCGGTCGGACTGGCGAGGAAGGTTAGATGTCCCCACCCCCAAGCAAAAGACTAACGTTGTTTATACCTAGAATTAGTGAAAACAAAATATTCAAAAAAATTCATCCATTAAATTAGATAAATCACTTCATTACTACTTTCGCTCGGAAGGTCTAACTCTTTTGGGCGATGTAATGATTTCAAGATCTTTCTGCTAGCTTTTTTGCTAGTAGCTTGACTGCTTCAATCCTTGAGCTTTTAACCATTGTTTAGCAGAAAGTTTATGTAATGATTGGTCTGTCTCCTTCTGAAGAACTTTCCAACGAAATGGGCTGCAACTAAAAATTGCGTGTACTACACATAAGTTCAAACTGTTAGCAGAGCAAGGAATGAAAATTGATTGTGGATTATTCTACCTAATCAAAGTTTGAACTCCATTGTAATTATTAGCGATATTAGCGCCATTGTCGTAGTGTTGCTTAACAATATGCTCCAATAAATTTCCTTTTCTATTTTTAAACAATTTTTGATTGGATTCTATTTGCAAACAAAAAATTATCAAAAAAGTAATTAATATTTGTATCCAAATATAACTTTTATTTTGATTTTTAAATTATAGATAAAATAATGCAAAATATAAATTAAAATAAAGACAATATTCTTACTCCTAAAAGCTAAACTACTTTTTAGCTAAAAAAATTGTGACATCAAGAATACATTACAAAATTACTTTCCATGGCGTCCTATGATTCAACCGAATCCCTAATTTCAGTTTAGAACCGAATATGAGAAACTTAATACACAACCGAAAATATTCACGAAAAAATTAGAACCGAAAAAATTTCAATCGAATTTTCGATTGAAAGTCATAAATGATTTTAGAACCGAAAAAATTTCGATCGAGTTTTCGATCGAAAGTCATAAATGATTTTAGAACCGTATCTAGGTATAAACAACCGAAAAAACTTTGATCGAAAGTCATTAATGATTTTAGAACCGAAAAAAATTTCGATCAAATTTTCGATCAAAAGTCATTTTAGAACCGAATTTCATTAAAATGGTTTACAACCGAAAGTTGTAGTACCTAATTTTTTTAGCGTTTATAAATATTTTTAGTTTAATGCTTTTGTAATATAAATTTAATGCGCTTACAGTTTTGAATACAGTCTTCATAATAAATTAAAAAATAACATTATTTGTTTTCAAAAACATCTCGTAGTTGGTGGAATAATAACAACAGAATGGAGTATCAAAAAGTTAAAGGCGAAAGGAGAAATTCATTCCTCTACATAGCTGGGAATAATTGCTATGTAAAAAACAAGAGTCACAGCGGTTACATTTATTTAAAGAGCAAAAACTATCAACTGTGTGTTGGAACTGCAAAAATACGCGAAGGAAGTGATTTACGTAATGTGATTCCAAAACAGAAGATTTTAGCCATTTGGAAGCGATGGAAAGAATGAGACTCAAAGCTGCAACTACACAAATTCCATTACGCCAGATTTAAATGGAAATCATTTGAGACTGTCCTGAAAATGTAAAAAATTGTTTATCCTACTTAAAATGTGAACAGATACTTCGTCGTGCAAGAAAAACTCAGTACAGTGCAAATCCCAACAGCGTAGAAGAAGCAGTATTGGCAATATCTAAGCCAAATCCATTTACCAACATTCTGAAAGGAATCGTCAGATTTGAAGACCAATTGGCCATACTATTATGTTCATCAGCACTACTACAAATAATCTCAGGTAGCAGAGTAATTTAGCTCAAAATTGATGACTTTTTGTGAACATTTTTTTAGAAATTTATTTAACATCTTTTAACCTTAGCTTGCTCATAATATTCTGTTTTTGTTAAATTTTTCAATACTCTTACAAATTTATTCATTTCTTTCAGGATCTACAATTATTTTCATTGATGCAACATTTCGCGTTGTTCCTAACATCTTTGAAGGAGGTCAACTACTAAATATCTCCATTATGCATTGTGACAATGTCCTTCCTGTGTTTCATGTACTTATGACTGGCAAAAAAGAAGGCATTTACATTGCTAAATTTAGAAAAATTAAGGAACTTTCAAGTGACTTTCAACTACGAATTTTTAGGCTGACTATGAAGCAGCAATAGGCAGTGCCTTGAAGATTGTCTTCCCTGAAATAAGACTGACTGGTTGCCGGTTTTATTACGGCCAGGCAACTTTAAGAAAAATCAAAGCTGTTTAAGAAAAATCAAAGCTTCAATCTAATTACATCAACAACTCTGCAATTTAGAGGTTGGGTCAGAAATACGTTGCTATGTGCCTCTTGCCTTGTGTTTTCATCAGAGCAAAAGTAGATTTACTCAAAACAGAGATGAGTCGATTTGCAAACATTGAAACTCGTAAAAAAATGAAAAAGTTTGTGTATTATTTTGAGAAGTATTGGATGACAACACAAACCCCAGCTTTTTTTTCTGTGCATGGACTTCAATTCAGAACCAACAATGTCTCGGAATCACTGCCGGTTTCTGGAAGTTTCTAGACGATATACGAGTATATTATCAGGTATAGCCATATTTAAATGAATATTGTAAAGGATAAATTTCGTCGATTAAACTCATAATAAAGTAACTTGATTTATTTTGTAATCCCTGAAGGCATTAGGGTCTCTTCTGATTGGTGCGAATCATCATATAAATTAGCTATCAAAATTATGACTAGGACTATCAAGTCCCAAGACATGTTGTGTTCATATTAAAAAGAATGTTAAAAAAAACGTCTGAGCAAATTTTTTTTGAATAACACTAATTAATAAATGTATACCAAGAAAAACAAATCTTGTTGTTTTAGTCAAAGCTCGTCTTCTCCGTTTTCTCTGGTATTTTGAGTATGTAAAATAAACGCGATTTTCCAGGCGCATTATACAGACTTGATAATTTATTCAAGCGCGTTTAATTCATAGGAGTTTTTGTGCTTGACGTCATAGATTTTTTTTTGTTTGTTCAAAACATTATGTTATTTTTTACACACAATTTCCAAATCATATTCATTTTTATTATATTTTAAAGTTCTAAAATGTGTTTGTAAAAAGAAAGTAAAAACAAAATAAAATTAAAAACAAAATAAGATTAAAAGAAAATAAAATTAAAAACAAAATAAAATTAAAAACAAAAATAAAATAAAAAACAAAATAGTATTTTATTTGCGCAACTTTTTTTAAATAATCGTCTAGACCACGTGTATTTTGATTTCTTTTGTTATAAGTTTTTCTTTCAAAATATTAGATAAAATAATTTTTAACCTAATTAATAATGCACTTTTATTAATTTACTTTGTAAATAATAATAAAAAAATTATTAACGCATTTTTTCTCTGATTTTCAAAAATGTATTTTTTGGTGGTGATCTTATTTCATTATTTATATTTCCATTATAACATCCAATATATATTATGGCGGGGGCTTTAAAAATTAAAAAATTGATATATATTAATTTTTATTTTACAGACATACATAGAAACATAATTAACTTGAATGTTCTTAAAACATCTTGCGGAAGAATAAAAAGAATATTCGCGAACACTAAAAACCCGCCAAATTTGCGAACAAACTAATTCTATTGGTTAAAAAAATACGCTGACTAAGCGAAATAAAGTTCTAGAGTATTCTGTTGAAATGTTTTAGGAATTGTATCATTTATAGTCTGGTCGCTACATGTAAAAAAAAAGAAAAACTAAACATTTTGAGTGGACATTCTGATTTTTACATAGACTTGTTCCTTATAACTTAAGACGTTTAAAAATTTTTACGTACCACTTGGAAAGTGCTTATAACTTAAGTTAGAGACAAAAATTGATGCAGCTTATTGAAAAGATTCCAAGCTAATCTGGTTCCCAAAAAGAAATTAAAAATGCTTGTATACTTCATCATGGTGAAGTTGGTCGTAATAATAACAAATTGCGTGGTTTTACTGAAAATGCGCTTGCGAAAGTGAAGACTTGTGGATTGTGACTTGCAAACCAAGCATTGTGACTTACAATGCTTGGTAAGTCACAAACTAAATGTACAACTCAGTTTATTTTTTTATATATATCTTTAACAATGGTACGGAAAAAACAATAAATAGCGTAAATTTGATAATAATATTTTTTTTTTGCTATCGTCAAATTCGAAATGACTTTAAAATCATAAACATTCTACCTGAAATTCAGGTCCGTATCAAGCATTTTTTGGTCTTCGAGATATCTAACTTTTAGACTTGGAGCAAACTCCAAACATTTATATGTTTATATGTCAAATAATATGTCAAATAATATTTGCTTTGCAAATAAAACTGCGATAATTGGAACTTGAGAACAAAAAAGCCCCAAAATTTGTGCTTCCCCTGCCCTAAACGTGAATTGCAACAAGTTGATGAAATATTTTTGTACTATTTTTAACCAGACTTATATTTATCGATAAATTTTAAATTTCATAGTAAAGTATTTCAGCGTTCAATAATTATAACAATATAAAATTTGCGACCCCCTCAAATTGAGGGGGGTTTAAACTTTATATGGTCGAAAATCTCGAAGACCAAATAATGCTGGATACGGACCTGCTAATACGTGCCCAACAACTTTCTTATTTCATCAAAGATGTTACGATAAGTATGTGAATATAAAAACATTAAACATTTTATAACATCGGGAAAATAGAGCAGAAAATGTCAACGAGAGTGTATCCTCATTTAAGCGTAGAATCTCAGCTCAGAAAAGAGATTGATCAGGTAAATTAAAAATCCTTTTAGTGTGAATTGCAAAGCAAAGAATATTGCCCTCAGTTTTCACGTTTTTTTTATGTTTTATGTACTACTTCAAAATTAAAATAATTCCTTTGTTTCATGAAAAATTATTGCGGATGAAAAGTGTTGCATTTGCTATTGCAAAAAGACTAATAAATATAGGAACGGATATAAAACGCTTTCACCCAATGGGCACCGGACCTAAAAAAGACGTCTTTTTAACGTTCAAAAGACGTTCAAAAGCCGTTCAAAAGAGGTCCAAAACGAGTATAAGACGTTTAAAAAC